GACTTTGATATTCTTTTATCTCGAGAAAGCATACGATACCACTTGGAAGCATAGCATTTTAAAGGATTTACGTGATTTTGGTTTAAGGGGTCGTTTACCTCAGTTTTTTTTATCACAGTTTTTAACAGACAGGCAATTTCAAGTCCGAGTTGGTTCAACCCTGTCTGATCATTAGAATCAGGATCAGGGTGTCCCACAAGGCAGTATTTTGTCTGTAACATTATTTAGTATCATCATATCAACAGCTTATCCAAGGTTTTAAATGAATCAATAGATAGAACACTTTTTGTGGATGATTTTAACATTTCTTGTCGCGGTAAGAATATGCATACTATTGAATGGCAACTACAGTTGTGTTTAAACAAAATAAATAAATGGTGTCTTGAAAACGGCTTTAAATTTTCTAAATCAAAAACTAATTGTCTACATTTGTGTAGAAAATATAAGCCGCATAAGGACCCAGAACTATCTTTAAATGGCACTCCCATCAAAGTTGTAAAGGAGGCCAAGTTCTTGGGTCTATTTTTTTATTCTCATTTAACCTTCTTGTCACACATTAAATCCCTTAAAGCTAAATGTCTGAAGGCACTAGATTTCTTAAAGGTTGTTTCAAATTCTAAGTGGGGAAGGGATCATACTACCCTCCTTTACTTATACAGATCATTGGTTCGATCTAAACTTGATTAAGGCTCCATCGTATATGGTGGAGCTTGCAAAAGCAACTTAAAACTACTTGATTCTGTCCACCACCAAGGTCTGAGACTTTGTCTTGGGTCACTCAAAACATCTCCTGTTGACAGTCTCTATGTTGAGGCAGATGAGCCTTCTCTTACCCAACGCCGTATTAAATTAACTTTACAATATATTACAAAACTATGTTCTAACGAGTTTAACCCTGCTTTTAATTGTGTCTTTAATCCTCTCTATGAGGATTTGTACAACAAAACGTCTTCTATTGTTCCGCCTCTTGGGCTAAGAATTCAACCATTCATTTCTTCTGCCGGCATTGAGCTGGACAATGTAGCTCCTTCCCGTCTTCTTTCTTCTCCTCCTTGGCAATTAGTGAGGCCACAAGTTGACCTCACCCTGACAAACTTTAAGAAAGCAGAAACTAATGTATTACAATATAAACAAGAATATAATCAATTAAAAAATATATATAATGCATACAAATCCTTATTTACAGATGGGTCCAAGGATGGTGGCGTGGTGGCATGCGCCACTGTCATTGGATCCAGCACAATATCTTTTCGACTACCAAATAACAGCTCTATTATCACAGCAGAAGCTAACGCCATATCAACAACTCTTAAATATATTAATAAACACCGTAAATACAAACAATACATAATCTTTTCTGACTCTCTTTCATGCCTTCAGGCTATTAACAGTCTTTCTTGTAAACATCCACTTTTAATAGAAATCATTGAATTATATAATGATGTTGCTACTGGCCAATGCGACATCGTCCTCTGTTGGTTACCAAGCCACGTTGGCATTTCCGGGAACACAATGGCCAAGGCAGCACTCAACAAATCTGTGTCACCACTTCTTATTCCTTACGCTGATTATAAAGCTAGCATTAGAACTTACATCCGTGATCTGGGATGCAGAAGAAGTGGGATACCCAAGTAGGTATCAATAAATTACATGAAATAAAACCTTATATCGGTTACACTTACTTGGGTTGTCAGTCCAGATTTGAAGAGGTCATCATACGACGATGTCGTATTGGCCCATAACATATACTCATGAGTACCTATTGAAAGGTGAGGATCCTCCGTTCTGTATCCCTTGTGATGAAAGAATCACGGTCAAGCATGTCCTGCTTGACTGTGTTGAATATTTCATCACAAGGGATACCTATTTCAAATCACGAACAATGAAGGATATTTTAAATAATAACAGTTCTCATTTAATTATTCCATTTTTAAGGAAATAGATTCGTTAAATGATTTGTAAATAGATAAATATTTTATGAATGGAAATTTAACTTAATAACGTAGATTGTTAGTGGCTGTAACCTCAAGGGGGGTGAAAGTACTGTAAAATTATTGTCTTCCTGAGAGGGTACATAAGTCCCAAAACTTTCAAAGTACAATCAAACTGACCAACTTTATAAAACGTATTTCTTTTGTGATTTTAATTTTGGCTAAGTTTTCCTACAATTACCAGCGGCTGAAGGGATGATGTAAATCCAACTAGGGTCCATGCAGGTAGCGAAAGTACTGTAAGTCCCCATGGTCCCTGGTATGGTGATCAGCCTTCAGTTGTTGGTGATCTATAGCCCGGTTTTATGTTGTATTGTTGTCAATAGTGATACATTTTTATGATAGCGTACTAGTTTTAAATTAAGAGCTGTGATATTCTAGTAGTTTTACTGTCCTTCGATGACAGATTTTTATTATCTCAATTTATTTTTAATTGATATGAATTACATAGTTCTCGTCACGATATGGCTGAGATAATGCCGATGTGAGGTTTAATCTTAATTCTTTTTCATGAAACTAACTTCAATATCTACATTTTGCCTTGTTCAAAATCATATCATACGTGGATATACGATACGATTTATATTCTTTCAAAATTTCTGTTTGAATAATATTTACATTAGAATATGACAGATTCAGTATAGTATTTTAAACCTTTACACAAGTGTTAGAAGATCAACGTAGTCATAACTGCAACATGTACTTTTTTTCCTATGATGTATAATATTCAATACTTTGGGACTAATTGCAGTTTCACATGAACAGCGATTTTAATTCAACCTTATAAGTAAAACTGATAATATTAATGGAAATGATTTTATACATTTTATGAAAAATATATGCACACACGTTTACAGGAATTGTCTTGTTCATTGAATTTGTTTAATTTTTTTTATAGACACATCAATTATGTACATTGGTCAGGTGCGTGGTTGATTCACTATCATTGTTTTCGACAATATAATCAATTCATATTCGATTAGAAATTATTGTGATGGCAGGATATCAAACTCACTCTTAGTATATATATGAACATTGTTTAAAATATATAAACCAAGTCATGCCTTAATCTGGAGAAACCTTACATCCTTATATTGATAGTTCCATACAAAAAGAGTTATTATTTTGCATCTTTCCTTGTATACTTCTGAAAAGAAATAGCCACATAATCATAGACAAAGAAAAGTCTTATCCTAAAAAAATATTCGGTAGTAGTGAAATTTTATTTTTCATTTACTTTAAATTGATGCCACACAGGTGCGCGTGTTGCTCACAATAAGATACGTAGTCAAACCGTCTAATTGGTGATATGTTCAGGACACTATTTAAATGGTAAAATCATTCATTTTATGTTTTGTCTGAAGAGTGTTAGATTCTGACATAGAAGCGAGACCTTTTATACAATTAATGGAAATTAGGTGAGATATATACTAATCAGCATACCAATGTCGTCTAAAATGTTGCATTATTTTCCGACGTCGCCAAATGCAAAACGTGTAGCAACATCTTCATTGGTGAGACAGACAGACCAGTAGCTTCACGTGCGAAAGAACACAAAACTTCAGTCGACAAATCAGATCTGAAATCCGCAGATTCCCAACACATTATGAATAATCCCGATCATGAAATTGATTGGGAAACTGAAGTCCTCGCATAAAACATCAGTGACGAGCGGAAACGCAAGTTGATTGCAGCTATCTTCATCAAACGCACAAAACCAGCAATAAACAATATGAGCCCTGTTAGCTGTAACCAATGACCTCCACATGTATTGCGTCGTCATAGCATTGTGACGTCACGGGCAGAGTTAACAGTTACTGTTCAGTTTTACCTGATGATGGGACTAAAACAAGTCCTGAAACGTTGTATTCAAGAATAAAAAGAAGATGTAACCCAGATAATCTCTATATTCATCAAATAGCATCTTCTGCCAACCATAAGTTGTTGGTGATCTATTGCCTGCTGTTTTATCGTGTTGTCCTCTATAGTTCAAATGTTTTAGATTTAATTACTTGTTTTACGTTTCTATCTGTGATAATCTAGTTATTTTACTGTCCTTCGTCGACAGTTTTGTTTAATTCCATTCCATTTATTATCAATTTACAACTTTTTAAGTCACGGTATGGCTGAAATATTGCCGATGTCACAATAAATCTTAACTCGCTCACTCACTGAACTAAACTGATAAATGAGTAAATAACTGCACAAGTTGAGTTGAATATCTTGGATGAGGCACGTGATTCGTTCTTGAACCTAATAACCAATTATTGAGAAAGGCAGAAAAGATGCAATGGAGAATAAGATGAGCCGCAAGTCTTGTGTCTTTGTAAAAGGTTCCCAAATCGCCCTCATTTTGCACATATACAGGAACCCCCAGACTTTTCAAACAAGATGTTTCGAGAGGACTTAGTTTCCGGTGAATATTTATCGCCTCACACTTTGCTCTTCTATACAAAAAAAATATGTTCCATGTTCAAAACGTACATGGATATGTCATGGTACTATAGCCTGAAAATATTTGTCAAGAGACTGACAGCCACACATTGCTACTTTCGCGTAATGACAAGTCCAATCAAATATTATTGTTTGTGCTTGCATCGTCCTTGTGGTCATAATGCAGTGAGAGAGTGAACTGATACTACGATTGTTGGGCGCATGTTTGATGCCTCTCAAAGTACATGTATTGTATGGATATCTGTGTGATGCCGGTATGTGATAATATCATGATATGGCTCAGCTGATATCAGTAAGAGGACTTGATCTTCGCTCTTCGGCATGGCGATCATTTCAGCCTCAAACCTGTGGTGCATTTTCTCAGTGAGTGTTTGTGACAAATCTGACTTACAAAGTTCAGACATGAGATATTCGACATATTCATATGTAAAAAAAAACGGAATGGCTCTGCAGCATCATATTTGTGTATACTCTCAGTGTAATAGATTGTGTGGAATGCTTCGTGTCACTACATTGCATGATTTCATTTGCTCATTTAAGCTTTCTGTCTTTCAGACGGTACACCTTCCCGACGTGTTCTGTCTGTGAGCTGCAGTTTACCCTAAAAGGCCCCGCCCCCTACCTACTGCCCTGTCTACACGCCGTGTGTGAGACGTGTGTGACATCTGCAGCTTGTGGTGTGATATGCTCTACATGTCAGAGGGAGGTCAACCTCACAGACACAAGCCTCCAGAAGGATACAGTGAGACAGAAGGAAATATTCCATCTGACAGTCAAACATTGCCCCACAGAGCTTATCTGTACACATGAAGATGACGGCAACCAGGCTGTGTGTTGGTGTCGAGACTGTGAAGAGTTACTCTGTGAATACTGCCAGAATATGCACAACAGCCTTAAACTTTCCAAAAAACATGTACTTCAAAACTTCAGTGACATGGTACCGACTGTCTCGGACATTCCAACATCTTGCAGCATCCATAAGTACAACGCCCTGGATCTCTTTGATAAAAGCTGCCAGAAGTTGATCTGTGCGAGGTGTCGACTTAGCGATCACGCACACCATGATGTTGATGAGTTGGATGTGGTTGCTGATGCTGTAACAAAACAGCTGCGCCGTTATAAGAATGTTCTATCAACGCTACAGGATCGCCAGCAATTATACATACAGAGCGTAAAGCAAGGAAGGGAATCCACTCACAGAACGCACAACACTTGGAAAGAAACGATTCACCATACTTTCCAGATACTGAGATTACAACTAGATCAAAGTGAGAAGGAATTTCTGATTGATCTTGAAAGTCAAACAAAGGAAGCTAATGCAATACAACATGATCTTCTCACCACTTATGAAGACGATATGAAGACATGCACAGGGGTTGTAGACTACATCGACAAAGTCCTTCTCTATGGCTCAAAGTTAGACCTCCTGGACGTGGAGAGTTCTGTAAGGGACATGACTCAGGCATGCCAAGACACTGCTACACCAGAAACACACATTCCTCCGGCTGTCTGCAACAGCAACGCCTTGTCAAAACTCAGATCCATCACATCAGGATTTGGCCCCCTTTTGACACGTCAATCTGTTAAAGGTATGCTTGCTGGGGAAAAACCCAACTAGTTGTTCGTATAATTATGGCATGTGTACAGCTAGTATATGAAGTGGTGTGCATTGTATTAAGATCTCCTTCACGTGCTTCTATAACAACGACTTTGTCTCGTTATAATTCATGCAACTTTGTTAATTAATTTATATATCCATCGTTTTGATAAACCATCTGATTCATGTCTTATTCGCATCTTTATAGACGCGGATACTCAGACTGATGATGACTTCATGGCCGACATGGAAATGAAACACAAAATGGTGAGTATTGTCAATGGTGGTACATCATGATTCTTACCTGTAAAGTTGTCTCAACAGTAATGGTTTGTTTCAATCAAGGAGCAACCTGAAATGTTTAGTATTTGTTATATTATTTTTGTACGAGCTGATGAACCCCTCATACAGAACTTTATGGCAAAATCAGTAAATGGCTAGACAAGATCAAAGAGTACACGGTATAATGTCATATAAAAGCACTAAAGGAGTCAATGCCATGGGTCAGATAAGGAGCAGGCACTATAACATATGTCAGTGGATTTCCTCCCCGAACGTAGTTGGACACCGGCAGGTCACAAAAAGTGTCGAGTCTTCATATTGCTCTTTCAAGCGTACAGACAGCCTTCTGGACAAATTTACTGAACTCCCGGAACGATCCCCGTTCATGTTTGTCAACCACAAAGCGGGTAACTCTGCAGCATACTTGCGGTAAAACTTGGCAATCAAAGTGCTCGATATTTTCGAATCATAATCACGAAAACCATGTATCTACTACCTCACAACAACGTGTAGATGAATATATTTATTGCAGGTCATTGCAGAACTGAAGACGAAAAATGACTCCGATGAGAAACGCATTAAAAGACTTACAGACGAGTCCAATGCTGAAATCAGAAGCTTGAAATCGGTTGGTTTCTTAACCTGCATGAACACACATCTTCATATATCTTATTGAACAAAATGTCATCTAAACAATATCATTAAATGTAATCTAAATATGAAGAGTATTTAAGGTAAAAGTTCAATTGACCTTTATTCACACTTCAATATGCTTCTTTTGTTTTGGGCTCAGTTTCTCGTTTTACTGAGGACACAATTCGACCTAACATTAACCAGCCCTTTGGACAAATTTACTGAACTCCAGAAACGGTCACCCTTTCATGTGTGTCAAGAACAAAGCGGGTAACTCTGCAGCATACTTGCGGTAAAACTTGGCAATCAAAGTGCTCGATATTTTCGAATCATAATCACGAAAACCATGTATCTACTACCTCACAACAACGTGTAGATGAATATATTTATTGCAGGTCATTGCAGAACTGAAGACGAAAAATGACTCCGATGAGAAACGCATTAAAAGACTTACAGACGAGTCCAGTGCTGAAATCAGAAGCTTGAAATCGGTTGGTTTCTTAACCTGCATGAACACACATCTTCATATATCTTATTGAACAAAATGTGATCTAAACAATATCATTAAATGTAATCTAAATATGAAGAGTATTTCAGGTAAAAGTTCAATTAACCTTAATTCACACTTCAATATGTTCTCTTTTGTTTTGGGCTCAGTTTCTCGTTTTACTGAGGACACAATTCGACCTAACATTAACCAGCCCTTTGGACAAATTTACTGAACTCCAGAAACGGTCACCCTTTCATGTGTGTCAAGAACAAAGCGGGTAACTCTGCAGCATACTTGCGGTAAAACTTGGCAATCAAAGTGCTCGATATTTTCGAATCATGATCACGAAAACCATGTATCTACTACCTCACAACAATGTGAAGATGAAGATATTTATTTGCAGGTCATTGCAGAACTGAAGACGAAAATTGGTTCCGATGAGAAACGTATGGAAAGACTTACAGACGAGTCCAATGCTGAAATCAGAAGCTTGAAATCGGTTGGTTTCTTAACCTGCATGTACTCACATCTTCATATTTCTTATTAAAAAATGTGATCTAAGCAATATCATTAAATGTAATCTCAATATGAAGAATATGAAGCTCAAATAATTTTCTTCACCTGTCAATATTCTTCCTTTTGTTTCGTGTTAAATATTTTTTTGACTGTGCACACAAGTCGTCCTAACATTAATCTCTTTCAAGAAGTCAGATACACAAACTTAGTACAAACATTTACACCGATTTTATTTAGAACAGGAATAGATGGATCAGTAAGAAAGACAACACAGAACACAGAAATATGGCTTGTTAAATGCCCCCATTGTTATCTCATTATTCATGCCGGGATTAACAATCCCCGGCTTCCATTTGTCCATCCACCCTACCAATTTAGCGCTAATTAAGTACTGGCTTCCCTTGTTATCTTATCACTGTTTGTTTATCACTGTACGTCTTTAGCTTTCTGTTTCCTAGTTTCTAGTCTCTTCATTCACTCGATGGAGGATAAGAATATGATTTAAACAATATTTATTCATTATTAAATGAACGGATTGGTAAACAGGCTATAAGCCTATAGAAATACCTCTCCGAATACAATGCGATGGGAAACATTTTATATACATTCATCATTACAGACAAGAGAACACACCATTTGAGGAGTAGAAGACTTAATGAAAAACACAGTAGTATAATTAATCAATTAGGTAAAAAATCGTTTTGTTAAGGTAAAATAGTCATGTACAGATTTTACAATATTTTCATTGATTTCGTCAGAATATGAGTAACTTCCACATAGTACAGATTGAATATTAAAACCATTTATGTAATAGAAACACTGCGATCGAATTGAATTAAAATTTGGACAGATAAATAGAAAATGAATGGCATCTTCATAATGATGGCCACAAGTGCAAGTAGACGTATTTTGAAGAAAACGGTCAAATTTATGTGCGTTTAAGTCACTACAGCCAAGTCTTAACTTACAATGAATTATTTGATTAAATCTATTACCAGTGTTTCTGAAGACATGATGTACGTTGGATGAGACATTTCGATCAAAGTGTTTCCTGAACATGGCAACGGAATCTATGTTTCTTGTATCATTATCTAACTTGTTCCACTCCATCACAGAGGATGGTAAAACGATTTTTATATGTTTCTGTACGACATAATGGTACTTGAAGCATATTACTAGATCTAGATCCATATGTGGATACAGAGGATATATTTATTGGAATTAGATCTGATAAATACTTTGGAGTTTTATTATGGAACATTTTATGAAATACATACATTTGGTGGTTTTTACGACGTTCCCTTAATGATGAAAAACCAGTTTCATGGTAGATTTTGGAATGACAAACTCCTCTAACTGATCCACATATGGTTCTTAAAGCATCTAAGTGAAGTTTTTCTAACAATAACTCTTGAGTTTGTGTACAGTTATTCCAAATATAATCACAATAGTCAAAAGTGGTAAAACAAATGAACTATACAGGGTTTGGAGGGTTTTCCTCTGAAGGCGGTATTTCAGACTTCTTAAACAATTGATCATAGGACTGACTTTAGAAATAATATCATCTATATGTATATTCCAGTGGCCATCACTTTGTAAAGTCAGCCCCAGATGTTTTATGAGTGTCAACAGACTTTATCGGTATATCATTCATTATAAGATCTGGCATTGATGTTACTGTTTTCTTTCTAGAAAAATGATAGATTCAGTTTTATTGGGATTAAAGTTTACTTTCCATGCCTGGGCCCATTTAGCTATTATTTCTAAATCATCGTTTAACATATTGGAAGATACCATAGGGTCATCAATTATCACATATAAGGATGTATCATCGGCAAATAATTTAATATTACACTGTATATCTTCAACAATATCATTGATATAAACCAAAAGAGTAAAGGTCCTAGGACTGATCCCTGAGGGACGCCAGCTTCAATTGATTTAACATTTGACTTATACCCATTTATTACTGTAAACTGTTTTCTATTATTTAGATAACTTTCAAACCATAATAAAAGAGATCCGCGAATTCCACTAGCCCATAACTTATGCAAAAGACCCTTGTGCCAAACCCTATCAAACGCTTTACTTATATCGCAGAATACAGCGCGTACCTCCTTGCCACTATCCATCGCCTTAGCTATATAGTCATACAAATGAGTGAGCTGGTATGACGTAGAATCACCAGTCGTGAAACCTGACTGTAATGAAGTAATAGTTCCATTATCTAGAAAAAATTTGACACATATTTAAAACACACTTCTCAAATACTTTTGAAAGACAACTAGTAAGTGAAACCGGTCGATAATTAGTATAATCATGAACATTATTTTTTCTTATAAATTGGAACAACGGATGAACATTTCCATATATCTGGAAATTGAGAAGAGGACAAAGAAATATCAAACAGGTTACAAAGTGGAATAGACAATTGTTCAGCTAAACATTTTAAGACACGATTGCTAAGATGATCTGGACCAGTTGCTTTAGTGACATCAAGCGACAGTAAAATATCCCTTACTTCAACGCTTTGTAATCTTATATCAGTGAGACAATTTTCCACGTTAATATCAGAATATACATTAACATCATCAGAAGAACTGTTAACCGCTGCCATACTCACAAAGTAGTCATAAAAATATTTGCTTTCTCAATATCATCTTCATAAACAACACCATTGTGTTCAATGTGTGGAAATATCTTAGCTTTATCTGTTTTCTTAAGATAATGTTTAACAATCCGCCACCAAGATTTACTACCATGTTCTGTATTGACAACATTATCAAGTTTTTCAACATATAATGACTTACTTTTACGTATCTCTGAGATAAGCTTATTTCGACTTTTTCTAAATTTTTCCCAATCATTAGGCAAGTTACTACGTTTAGCCTTTCTATGAATTCTATTTTCTTACGCATAAGTTTTCTTATAAATCCGTTCATCCACGGAGCATCATTTGGACGAATCACAACAGTTTTATTTGGAATATTTGATTTACATAAGTCTGTTAATGTATTAACAAATTTTGAAGCAATGGCATCAACATCATCATTTTGTGTAAGAAAATCCCAATTAACATCAGCCACATTTTGCCGAAAGGAATTTATATCAATATTATCGTAAATTATAAATGAATCTTGAATAGGCTTCTTTCATCTGTTTAATAGATTTCAGCGACACGCTAACTGAACAATGGTCACTGCAGAATGGGGGAGTAACATCCGAGGAACTTACAATATCAGGACACGATACAAATATTAGGTCAATAAGTGTTCTCGATTGTTGAGTAATACGTGTCGCCTCATTTATCAGTTGCGTCATGCCATAAATTGTCTTAATACGTTCAATGTTAGGATCTATTCTATTCAACGAATTAGCATTGAAGTCCCCAAGTACTATAGTCTTAATATTAGTATCTATCGCTAAGCCTATTGATTCTTCAATCAGATTCCAGTAGTGGGAACTAGTATTTACACGATAAAACGTACCGACAACATAACTCTTGTTTTTACACGTGATCTGTGCCCACACTGCCTCTAGTCCTGGAAGTTGTAAGTCAGGCCTATGCTTACAGTAAATAAAGTCTTTCACATAAATTGCAACCCCACCTCCCCTAGTTTGTCTATCATTACGAAATGGCGGATGAAACCCAGGCATAAGAATGTCATAATTTGAAATACCATCATGCAACCAAGTTTCTGATATACATATAACATCATATTCATGAAGTTCTGCGTAAACTAAGTCTACTTTATCAGTAAGACTACAAACGTTAGTATGTACAATACTTAAATCTGAGTTAACTGGTCCCGGGTTAGGGTGAATATCTCCACAACAGAGTAGTAATAATATAGCTATCTGAATACCCCCTGACCCCAAGTGTACAGACTAACATCACCAAATAATAAGTAGATATGTCTATTTTACCATGTTCTTTATTTAGGGACTTACAGTGATATACCCCGATTAAATAATAAGAATATACTCCGTTGCATCGTGTTATACAAATACAGAAGTTTACACCCATAACTTTTCTTAAATACCTTTAGGCATTTTATGAGTCCTGTTTTATGAGCTCTGTTTTTCACTGGGCTAAGCTACACATTTGCCTACTCCCCATGTTACCCGTGAAGATCCGGGTTAGATTGGTCTTCAGCAACACATGCTTGTTGTAAAAAGTGACTAACGGAATCGGGTGGTCAGGCTCGCTGACTTGGTTAGTTGACAATGTCATCGTAACCCAACTCCGTAGCGTTTTTTGCTCAGAATGTTGATCACTGTATTGTCTGGTCCATATTCGAATATTTACAGATCGCCGCCATATAGCTGTTATATTGCCTAGTTCGGTGTTAAACAACAGACCAACCAAACCAACTCCCCGTCGGGCTGTATTGTATCAGTGGTGGAATTTTATACACCATGTGCCTTTCATCTGGTCGTTTCATGTGGGCATATTTCACACATATATATATCTACTATTATGTGGAAAAGGTATTGTTCTAAATATATGTGCCATAATCTCTCATACTTCTACAAGAATGGCTTGTGTACATACGTATATATCTGTCTGTCGCCGAACTCCCAACTATCGACTTGAGACAGTGCCACAGTTCATCGACCGACGTGGTAGGGGTGTTTAACCAAAACGTAATAAAATTGTTGCTTGGGGAATAAAGCACTATATGATAAACACCTGTATATTGAAAATAATTTAGTTTAGATGGGGAGTTGAGAAGTTGGACGTAAGAAGGTGGGAAGTTGATTGCGTATAAGTTCAACTAAGTAAGTGGTGTAAAGTATATTGTGACTTATTGTGCAGAACAGTTAAACTGTTGCTGATAAGCTAATAAAGAGTCTACTAAATAGATGAATTGGGGTTAAATGTTAAAAAGTAGGGCTGGGGAGCCAGGGTACGGTGTTTATGTTTTGGTTGTGAAACGTGTGGTGCGTGGCCTGGACATTGTGAGTTAGTCTGGATAATCG